CTGGCCACTTGCCTTGATGTTTTCTAGGGAAACAATTTGTTTGTTCTTGTAGTAACAGTCCATCTGCCTCCATTTTTCCTGCAGGTCTTTTTTTCAAGAGGTGTTTTTTATTCTTCTAGCCGCTTCAAGGAGTGTCTTTTTAAGTTTGAACGGTCTTAAGTGTTCATTTAGTGGTAATTTAAAATATTTGTTGAATTGAATCAAACAGGTGCATATGGTTCTTACTTAGCCTATCTTGAGTGTAAGAAAAGGCTCAATGGTTTTGAGGATTTAAAAAGCAACTAGTGAAGTGTCAAGTCAGTTTCGACACATAGTAACCTTGTTTAATGTTTCTGAGGCTTTACATCTTCTAGGGAGTAGAAAGCATCATCTTTCTTTTGAAAGGGGTGATAATGATGGAAAATTTGTTGTATTAAGGAAGGGTCAGTTCAGTTGTGGCTCTGTGGGTTAATGAGCCAGACTGCAAAGCTGTTTGAACTACAAGCTCGGCAGTTCACGCTCACCAGTTGCTCCTTGGAAACCCTATACAGGGTTGCTATGGGTTGGAACCGACTTGATGGCACTTAACAACAACAACAGCAGTTCAGTTGATAACCAGCAAAAGCAAATTTATATAAACGAAAAGGGATTTTATGCTAAAACGGCTCTGCCCCATTCAAAGATGGCAGCTCACTGCTCAGTAATGATAGCCAAACACACTGCTTTGCATGTGTGTGACCCCGTCAGTGGTCCTGCCAATAACCCAATTTCACAATCAGGCTACTGAATTTCCGAGTCTTCTATAGTAGGTCTTCTACCTGTAATTTTTCCTCTTCAAGTTACCTGAATTGTAAAACTTCAAGACTGCTCCTGTTTTGCTTGTTAGTCGTTACAGAATTGGTTCAAATCTGTTTGAAGCCCTGGGTAAAGGACAAGTAGGAGTTGTCCATATGTGTGCACTCATAATTCAGGCACTGCCTATAATGTACAGAAATTTAATTCATTATTGCGTAAAATGTTCTAAACGTAAGTCTGCTTTGGTTTGAAATATATTTCGAGCTGTCCAAAAGTTGTATTAAGTCCATATATTGTCAGATTCATAATTAATGCTATAACCCATTAGTATATTTCATCAGAATACTGATTTCTTAGTAAATTTATTTAATTACTGAAACAGTTGACATAGGTCCCTGAGATTTATTGAATCCTGCCACAGATTTATAACATTACAGTTCCTTCGATATTAACTTTTAGGGAGTTAGGACTTCTGAGAATCTAAAGAAAGCTACAGATCCTGTCTGCCACCAGCAACAAAGAAGCATATTTATAAATGCAAAATTTGTCATAATTTCAAGGGATTAATGAAACAGCTATTCCAAGGAATCCTACCTCTGAATCTCCCAGAGTGAGTGAGAATTGATTAGGTTAAATTGTAATAAAATTTTCATAAAACTTTCTGAGTGATACTGGTTTTCCATTTCCATGAGCGTAGTGGAGAGTAGAAGGAGCTCTGGTAATGTAGTGGTTATGAGTCAGGCTGCCAACCTCAAGGTCAGCAGTTTGAAACTACCAGCGGTTCCACGGGAGAAAAATGAGGTGTTCTGCTCCCTTAAAGATTTACAGCCTCAAAAACTCTGTGCAGGATCACTATGAGTTGGAATTGACTCCACAGTACTTAACAACAACAACAAGTGGAGAGTAGAAGTCCTTCTCCAGGTATGAAGAAAAATCTTTCATTTTTGTTCCTAGCTGTCGTCAGTATGCACTTTTGTGCTCTCTCAGAATTACCAGTTCTCTTGGATCTTGTAAGTGTAGGGGTCTGTACTATATGACTTATCTCTATTTGGATTTAGCACAGCTGAATAGGTCCACCTGTTTTAACTGCTTTTTGGGGGGTTTTGTAAGGATTTGTTGTTAAGTGCCATCGAGTCAGTTCCAACTCATAGCATCCCTACATAGGGTTTCCAAGGAGTGGCTGGTGAGTTTGAACCACCAACGTTGTGGTTCAAACCAACCTTGTAGTCCAGCGCTTTATTCCACAGCGCCACACCAGGACTAAGAATTTGCTTTTGCCTACCATGTCTTATCTTAGAAAAATCTATCAGCTATGGGATATTAACAGTGCATTATTTTTAGAGATCTCTGAATGGTTTTAGCATTTCCTGTCATTCATTCATGTGCTGGGTTTCTCTAACATACAGACAAGATTCATTCCATATTGCCTCTCCCTTTTAGAGTACTAAAACACTACACAACCCATTTCTGATACTTTTTAACAGTTCCAGAAAAGGGATTGAGATGATCTTTTATCTTGGTAGTAAACTTCTGTTTTAAGACATTTGAATAGGGAGTGGCAACTAGCCGTGCTTTCCTTGCTTACAATTTCCTTCTACCCCTTTAAGAGTAAGTAATGTCTGCTCATCTCTTCTACATGGCATGGTAGCTAGCCAGTCAAGACCAACCAGTAAGGCTGTTGTTTAAAGACTAAGGTGCTACAACTTACTATACATAAAAATTTGTAGCTTGACATTCTAACATCTTGCAGGAATCTATGAGAATGTTACTTAAATCATTTACCAGATTTTCAAGATAGTTAATAAAATTTAGTGTATAATAGATTTCTTTGATGGACAATAAATTGAAAATAAATAAGCAAAATTAGCATTTTTTAATTCTTCTACCTGTTTTATTAATGTTTACAGAAAAAAAGCTACCATAAGAGAAGATCTATTAAGTGCACAATTTTTTGACTTGAAGATTATACATAGTAAGTGACATTTTGCTTGTTTTCTACCTTTTTTTGATTTTTAATTCAGTGCTTATTCCAGAGTTCTTATTAATATTTTGGTTTGGAAAATAGTCTTTGTGCACAGAACTCCACTGAGCTCTGCTTGTTATATTAGTGTCTGTATAAATTTTGTTTCCATGGAGTTATGTGTACTATTCTCTGCCTGCACCTTCCCCACTCCCTCTTTTTTTTCTTTATGCTCAGCTTAGAGGGAGGGGGGCTATATGTGAAGAGTCCTACTCCCAGCCCCACCCCACCCCCCACCTAACTGCTTGGCATTTAGCAACCTACTCTGGTCTTACTTCACTCATTAGTACAAAAGCTCCTAGGGAAAAAGATTAAATACCTTGTGGGCCAGGAATTGTAAGTAGTAGCAAGGCATGTCTGCAACAGCAGGAAAGTAATTCTTAATTCCCAAATATAGTCATGGTTTGACTTCTAACCACATATCTGTTGGAAGCTTTGTGTGCACCTTTTGCATATTTAATTACATTGATATTACTGTTGTGCCATGGAGTTAGTTGCTACTCCTTCTTGTTAAAGTTGTGGGGAGTCAGTTGCGACTGATAGCGACCCTGTATAGGGTTTCCAAGGAGCAGCTGGTGGGTTTGAACTGCCAACCTTGTGGTTTGCAATCCAGTGCTGATTCCACAGTGCCATACCAGGAGTGACCCTGTATATGGTTTCTGAGGAGAAACTGGTGAGTTTGAACCTCTGACCTTATGGTTCAGACCTACCTTGAGGTCCACCAAACTTATGGTTCAAACTTACTTTGAGGTCCAGTGTTTATCCTACAGCACCCCACCAATGCCGTGCAGTTGGTTCCGACCCATAGTGACTTTGTATAGGATTTCCATGGAGCGGCTGGTGAGTTTGAACCACTGACCTCGTGATTCAAACCGACTTGCAATCCAGTGCTTATCCTACAGTGCTACCCTGGGACTCCTGGTGAGCACATCTTTCAAGTGGGCCGGGACAGGCCCAGCTCTGTGGAGTTCTTGACTAGTCACCTACCCATAAACATCACAATGCCACCCCACCACCACCACCTACACACACATACACACACACACACACAGGGCGACCCTCATGCGCTTGGAGACCAAATAAAATAAGGTAACGCTTAGCGCCAGCTGGGATAGCCATTAAGGAACTCTGGCAGCATGTAGTGGATTACACTTTGGGCTACTGACCAACCGCAGAATAAGTAGTTCGAGTCTAGTAACTGCTGTATTGGAGAAAGATGAGATCTTTTAGTGCTCTGTAAATATTTACAGCCTCAGAAATCCTGTACAGGGTTGCTGTGAGTCAGAACCGACTCCATACCACATAATTACCACCACTAGGATTTGTTGTTGTTGTTAAGTGCTGTCAAGTTGTTCGAACTCATAGCAACCCTGCATAGGGTTACCAAAGAATGGCTGGTAAGTTTGAACCAACAACCTTGTGGTTCATACTGACCTTATGGTTGAGTGCTTTATCCTACAGCACCACAGCAAGGTGGCTGTTATTTAAAAAATGGAAACTAACAAGTATTGATAAGGATGTAGAAAAACTAGAATGTTACAGCCATTGTGAAAAACAGTTTAGCAATTCCTCAAAAAGTTAAAAATAGAATTATCAGTAATTTTCCTCTTTGTTTTATATCCAAGAGACTTGAAAGCAGCAACTCAAACAGACACATGTACACCAGTATTCATAACAGCATTATTCACAATAGCCAACAAGTGGGAACAAACCCAAAATTGCATTACAGATGAATGAATAAACAAAATGTGGCATAGCCATACAATGGAACACTATTCAGCTATAAGGAAAAATGAAGTTCTGGTACATGCCACCACATGGATAAACCCTGAAGCACGCACAGTGAAATATCCAACACAAAAAGACAAATATTGTGTGATCTCACTGATAATATCTATTCACAATAAATAGCCCATCAAGATAAGATCATTGATTACCAAGAGCTGGGGGAAAAGGAAAATGGTGAGTTTAAAATGTAAATGATAGTAAAATTTATTTTTCATACCTTAGTAAATATATAAGGAGCTCTGGTAATGTAGTGGTTACGAATCGGGCTGCGAACCACAAGGTTAGCAGTTCGAAATTACCAGCTGTTCCTCGGGAGAAAGATGAGGCTTTCTGCTCCCATAAAGATTTATAGCCTCGGAAACCCTGTACAGGGTCACTATGAGTCGGAACCGACTCCACGGCACTTAACAACAACAACAGTAAATCTATAGTGATTGTTTTCTGCTCGGAATTAATATGATTGTTTTTCTGTCAGTGCTATAGATTAGCATCCTTTTTTATGGATTGATAGCCTTTGCTTGCCAAGTCTAGGATCTGAGAAAATTTACTACTAAAAAAGATTAAGGGATATTGCAAACTTTCTCTTAGACCCACTTAATATGTTAATCTTAGTTTTAAGACCACTGTAATTTTCTTTGTGTATTTCCTGTGTACTCTTAACTGTAGAGAGAGAACTGTAGATATTAAACCTAAATTGTCTCAGTGTAGTGTTGTTGTTAAGTGCCTTCGGTTTGGTTCTGACTCAACAATCCTTCTAGGGTTCCAAGGAACTGCTGCTGGTGGTTTTGAATCAGGCTCAAACCTCCCTTGTGATCCAGTATATTAATTACCCTGTAGCACTGCATCAGTAATTCAATGATTTATTTTGATTTGATGTTTGTTTTATTTTGCTATTTAGAATGCAAAAAATATTGTTAATGAACTTCCTAGGTTAAGATACCTGGAGTCACTTTTTTAGTTTAGAATGGGTAGAAATACTTATTTCACTTTATGAATGAGTAATAAAATAATCTGGGTGACATAGTGGTTAAGTGTCTGGCTATTAACTCAAAAGTTGGTGATTTGAATTTAACCAGTAGGTCTGCAGGAGAAATAACTGGCATTCTGCTTTCATAAAGTTGTTGTTAAGTGCTGGCGAGTTGGTTCCAACCCATAACAAAACTTCATAGGGTTTCCAAGGAGCAGCTGGTGAGTTTGAGCCACTGACTTTGCAGTTCAAACCAACCTTAACGTCTGAGTGCTTATCAACTACAATGTCACACCAATAATCCTCCATAAAATTAACAGCCAAGAAAACTTTATAGGGTAGTTCTACTCTGTTGGTCCCTGTAAGTCAAAAGTCGACATGACAGCACTTGTTAAATGTCATCAAGTCAATTCCGACTCATAGTGACCCTGTACAGGTTTTCCCAGGAACAGCTGGTGGGTTTGAACTACCAACCTTGTGGTTCACAATCCAGTGCTTATCTTACAGCATCATACCAGGATGACACTTAGCCATAACAGCAACAATATAAGATTATTGATGACTAGGGAATTTTGAGCAAATGTCTTAGCTGAACTAGGCTGATTTGAGTGTAGCTGTGGCTCTGTTGGTTAATGCGCCAGACTGCAAAGCTGTTTGAACTGCAAGGTCGGTGGTTCAAGTTCACCAGCTGTTCCTTGGAAACCCTATACAGGGTCGCTATGGGTCGGGATTGACTCGACGGCACTTAACAACAACAACATGTCCTAGTAAGGTGCTATATAGGATAAGCACTGGTCTGCTGACCTCAAGGTTGTGGTTCAGATCTACCAGCTGCTCCTCAGGAACCCTACACAGAGACTGACTCAGCAGCACTTAACAACAACAATAACAGGTTAACTGATTACCCATTTAGTTACTATTCTGTGGTGTTACTTCTTTACTTGAGGTGGGGGGATAGATTATAAAGTCAATGCATAAGACTAAAATAGCATATATAGAAAGTCTCTTAGAAAGATGCCATGTTGGAAATTTAATCTGTTCTTTCAGTAAATTTAGAAGAGTAGCCAGTTTTACTTCCTGCATTAATATAGATTACCTACAATACTTCGTCGTACTCTGGTGACTTGCATGTTCCTTTGATTCTAGAAGCTATGCCACTGGTATTTTAAATACTAGCCGAGTCACCTATGGTGAACAGGTTTCAGACGAACTTCCATACAAAGAAAGAGAAAGACTAGGAAGGAGCAATGAACTATTTCCAAATATTTAGTCACTGAAAACTTTATGAATAGCAATAGAACATTGTCAAAGAACACCAGAATATTGTCAGATATTATTGTCAGAAAATGAGCCCCTCAGATTGAAAGGCACTCAAAATGCAACTGGGGAGGAGCTGCCTCCTCAAAATTGAGTTGTCCGTGATGACATGAATGGAGTCAAGTTTTTGGAAACTTCATTTGCTGATGGGTTCACAACTCAAAATAAGGAGAAACAGCTATAAACATCCATTAGTAATTAGAACACGGAATGTGTGACGTCTGAATGTAGGAAAATTGGAAGTTATCAAAAATTAAATGGAATACATAAACATCAATATCCTAGGCATTAGTGAGCTGATATGGACTGCTGTTGGTCATTTTGAATCTGAAAACCACATGGTTTACTACTTCTGGAATGACAAATCTAAGAGGAATGGCGTAGCATTCATCATCAAAAAGAACATGTCACGATCTGTCTTGAAGTACGAGGATAATATCCATACATCTACCAGGAAGACCAGTTAATACCAGTATTATTCAAATTGGCATACTAACCAGTAAAGCTAATGATGATGATATTGAAGAATTCTACCAACTTTGTCAGTTTAAAATATAAAAAGCATGCAATGAAGATGTACTGATAATTACTATTGATAGGAATGCAGAGATTGAAAATAAAGAGGAAAGATCTGTCTTTGGAAAATACGGTTTTGGTGATAGAAAAGAATGCTGGAGATCACATGATAGAATTTTGCAACAAAAATGACTTCTTCACTACAAGTACCTTTTTTAAACAACATAAAAGAGGACTATATACTAGGAAAGGAGCTCTGGTAGCGTAGTGGTTACGAGTCAGGCTGCCAATCTCAAGGTCAGCAGTTCAACTCTACCAGCGGTTTCGTGGGAGAAAGATGAGGTGTTCTGCTCCTGTAAAGATG